GGGCGCGACGGGCGACAGGGCCGCGCTCCAGTTCCTCCACGTATTTGAGGAAATCCAGGTCCAAGTGGAAGCCATAGGGCGTCTCCACCGTGTAGGACGAACTCGGGCTGCGGGAGCCCCCAATCGGGCCGTGGCACAGGTGAGAGCCGCCCAGGTCTGCAGGCATGACAGGGGCGTGAGGGGTGTCAGGCCAGGGGTACCCCTCCCCACCACAACACACCAGCAGGGCTCCACCTGCACCAAGTTCTGCACCAAGCCATTACACACCCAAAGCTCAATGCCTATATGCACCCAAATAGTCATGCAAACACACGTTTATTGAGCTCCTACTACATGTCAAGCACTTTTCTGAGGACAAAGCATCGAACTAGACAAACATCTCTGCCCTCTTGTAGGAGACAGATAGACACAAACATTACAAATGGTGCTAAAGGCAATAATAAGATGAAGTAGAGAATAACTGGAGGAGGCATTACTATGGCTCTGGTTGTCAGGGCCAAGTGATGAGGAGGAATCAGCTGGGGACAGAAGGTTCCTAAAAGAAAACAGCCCATGCAAAGGTCCTGGAAGGGGAGGGGGCTGAGCAGGGTGGGCTGGAATAAAGGGTGAGTTGAGGGTGTCCAGAGCAGAGTAATGGAAGAGAGGGGGAGAGGAGTAGGGGAGGTGAGCTGAAGCCAGACAGAGGGCGTCTCCCGGGCCATCATGAGATGTTAGATTACATTCCACATGTGACAGGGCAGCACAGAGGCCCCTCTGGCCACTATGCAAAGAAGTGAACTGCAGGGTTGTGTCCACACACCAGCACCAAGTGTGGACCTGTGCACACTTACCATTTCGTACACTTACCAGACACGTTCTGATTCAGGGCAAACTTGGCCATGTTTCCTGGAGTAGCCACCAAACACACCCTGAAAAAGTCCCCCAGAGGGGGTAAGGGTGGAGTCAGGCCCTATCCTTCTGGCTATGACTCTAGGGTCAGCCTGGATTCTGAGTGAGTAAACAGACCCGAGAGTTCCTCTCCAGCAACCCACCCCCACACACCAGTGCCCTTTCCTCCATTCTCCCTCAAGAGGCCTTGAAACTTTGGAATGAATGAATGTGGGAGTACCCAGGTGCCAGGCCTCAGCCTGCTGGGCAGGAGGAGAAAGGAAGAGCATCAAAAGGAGAGAGGAAAGTAATTCAGAAAACAAGAGAAGCCCAGCTAGTGTGGCTCAGTGGTTGAGCATTGACCTGTGAACCAGGAGGTCATGGTTCAATTCCAGTCAGGACACATGCCCAGGTTATGGGCTCAATCCCCATTAGGGGGCATGCAGGAGGCAGCTGATCAATGATTCTCTGTCATCATTGATGTTTCTCTCTCTCTCTCCCTTCCTCTCTAAAACCAATAAAAAATATATTTTAAAAAAGAAAAGATGTCCAGTTGGCATGGCTCAGTGGTTGAGCATCGACCTATGAACCAGGAGGTCACAGTTTGAGTCCGGTCAGGGCACACACCGGGTTGCAGGCTCATTCCCCAATGTGGGGAGTGCAGGAGGCAGCCGATCGATGATTCTCTCTCATCACTGATGTTTCTATCCCTCTCTCCCTCTCCCTTCCTCTCTCTAAAATCAACAAAAAGAAAAAGAAAACAAGAGTAGTTGGAGGTGGGAGTGGGTATGGGTGTCATTCCAGATCTGAGTTTTCTGTCAATCGCTGGGGAAAATCAGAAATTAATCATCACAGGGGTGGAATGTGAACCTTCAGAAGAGGAAGGCAAGAACTGGAAGTCCTCATGGGCTCATTAAGAACTCATCTGGTCAGATTCTGCAGATTAAAAAACAACAAAAATACAGAATCACTTGAATGTTTCCCTTAGAGTCTAAATGCAAACAAGATACAACTGTGCATATGAATTTTTACCAAGGTCACCTGTGAGACCTCTATAGGAAAGACAGAGTTGGGGGCCAGCTGCACAAAGGATGCAAATCAATGGATACCTGTACCCCTGGAATACCCCTAGTGGAGTGCCACAGGGCTTATAAGAGGTTGTAATGGAACCACAAGCACCTAGGTTGTCAGAGCTGAAACTATGCCTGGGGATGGAGGGAGAGTAAGTCAGGGTGTCATGATGGAGGCTCTAAGAAACTGAGGGAGATTGAGACCCATCTAATAATGTGATATTTTACAATGACAAATATTGAGTCCAGAACTTGGATTCAGAAAGCACAGGGTGAGAAAGATGGGGCTTTAAAGAGCTCACATGAAAAGCCTCAGGGAAGGGCAAGCAAGCTGCCAGTATCAAGTGCCTACTGTATTCCCTGCTTGATTAGATGTAATCCTGTGCAATCCTGCAAGGTAGATATCCACATTTTACAGATGGGGAAACTGAGGTACAAAGCAATTAAATCAGTTGTGGGAAACACCCTCTGCTCATCTTCTGGAGACCCTTGCCTATCAGACCCAATGTGACCGCTCCCTAACCCACAGCTCATTTGTGCTAAACTAACCATCTTTCCACTTCCCACCTTTGTCCAGCCTGGGTCCCTGACCTCCCCCACCCAGAACCTTTTCCTGTCCCAAGGCAGCTGTTTCCTGCCCCTTATACCAGTTGCAAGGGGTGGACCAGCAGGACAGCTGGTCATCACACAGGACATCCAGTGCCTCTCAGGACTTGTTTTTAGGAAACTGCCAGAGAGAAGCTTGGCCATGGAAAAGGCCTGGGTGGGGGGTTGGAAGTCTGGGCCTTTTCACGCACCGCTCCAAGTGGGACTGAGCTGGGATCAGCCCCCTCCTCCAGGGACATCTGAGGTGCTGGGAACTCGAAGAATAGCTGTGGGCCATCCCTAAGACCCAAACCCCCTCCGCAGCTGGACCCAGAGGCTGGGTGGGGAAATGGGTGGATACTCCAAGAATGGTAAAGAATGATAAAAACACTCTTTCCATTTTCAATGGACCAGCTTCAATTCTAGGCGATCTGTAGGGATTAACTAAAAAAATCCTAGCTAAGCCCTCTGAGGTAGGTTTTCTTACTGTCTTTCTCCTTTTTACAGAGGAAGAAACACAGATTAAGTGATGCTCCCAAGGTCACATTCAGGCAGAGGCAGATTTAAACCTAGGCGGCTTTGCCACTGTTTCTGCATTGGCCATTCCACTTGATGGTCTTCTAGAAACAGCCCGTCCCTCCCCGACGACCCTCATGCCTGTCCCCGCGTGTGTCCCCGATAGCAGGGAGTGGGTTCACCCCCCCCCACCCCCCCAGTGGCTCCAGGGGCTGCAGCCTCACCGGAGTTGGGGAGCTGAGGCGTGCAGCTGCCCTTCTCTCTCCTCTGCTCCCGCCTGAGCTGTCAGCTAGATTCGGGTCCTCTGCCTGAGGCCCCCTCATTAGGCCGTCAGAGCTGATGCCAGACGCCCCCACTCCAGCCCCAGGGACTATTTCTGGACTCGGTGCTGTGATCACCAAATACCGCAGGCAGTGCAGCTCCTGGTCCTGGGGAGGGGACGCTCCCCCAGCCCCTCCCCCCGCTTGAGGCCGTGTGGTGGCACCCCCTAAAGTTGGACCGGAACTTGCACACCCCCGAGGTAGGGGTGTTGGCTGATGATGGTGTGTAGGGGAGGTACTCAGGTCAGCACCGACCACTCCCTCACCGCCCCCCCTAGACGGCCTCGCAGGGACAGAGCCGTTTCCTAGAGGAAACGCTGCCGGGCGGTTCCATCCGCTACCCATTGTCTGCCGGCGGGGGCCGTCCGTCCCTCCCCCAACACCGTTTCCGTCACACCCCCACGCACACCCAGGTCCCTCGCGAGGGGCTCGACCCGGTCCCCAAGCTGTCCGGGAGAGCCGCGGGGAAAGGCTGGGGAGTCGGCTGGGGAGCTGGCTGGGGAGCTAGGGGGCGAACACTCTCTAAATTGGCTCCTGAAGGGCGGGAGGAGGGCGATCTCATGAACCCGGAGCTTCCCATTCTGCGCGCTGCCCACTGGGGGCTCTCAGTGTGGGAGGGGTCGCAGCCGGA